ATTTCTGGGAAAATGTCTTCTTGCTAGATTATGAAGTGTGTAAGTATCCTCCCCTTTAGACAGTGTTTCACCTCCTGTAGTGGCAGCGTTACATCTGTTGATTCCCCTGCAGCAATGTGAAGCTTATTCACACTGCCCAAACCCACTGAGTGAGTAGTCATGATATCATTTATGTCATGTGTTTTCCACGATCGCTATGAGACGCAAATGATCAGAATGTGAATGTTAACACATCTTCTTATTTTATTTCCATCACACCAAAACAATAAGCAGTGCACGCCCTTTGATGTCCACACCAAGAAAAAAGCAATGGAAAAATATTTTGTTTGTATTTCTTATTGACTTGGGTGAGTAATAACCACAATCACTATTTTTTTTCAATAGACCCTGTAGTTTTTAAAATATTGATCTCTACCAATTGCTTGAGAAGTCACTGGTAAAAGTATGAAACGTCATGCAAATACAAGTACATTAGATAATACAGTTGAAAAAATCTAATTATAATTATAATTAAATTAATAACAAACTATCCAGGGCACAATAAACTGTATCCCTGTATCCAGGGATACAGTTTATTTCTAGTAGCATGCCAGTGACCATTGCTGGCTTTCATCCCATCAAAGGAAAGTATTACATCAAACAACAAAATACATGTTTTTTAATCTGCAAATGTGACAAGTGTGCAACAGCACAAAATTCTCACATTCAGGCCACTTATGATTGAATGCTACAGTGCAAAATCATTTTTGTTTCAAAAATTAAAAATAAAAACAGTGCAAATCAAGCACATCTGCTTGTGGTTTTGGTCTATGGTGTAGCATTTATTCTGTGGTCTTGGAGAGCTGGATCATGGTTGTCCAACTCTAGATGCTGGCTTGTTAACTTGGTTCACACAGCCAGGTGGAAACCTTTTGAGAGCCATCGGTTTCTGATCCAGTAGGGTACAGTTCCTCTTGTAGACCAGGTATTCAAGTCAAGGATGTATCTGAACAGTGGAATATGCTATCTCCGTAACTTATAACTTGTGTAATATCATATCAGAACGCTTAATTCCTCTTATATGCTAATTATATACAGGGATGAGTGATGGGCATGGAATGGTAATCTTTGCATTGGACTCTTTGCTCCACCGTTTGACGAATGAACCACAGGCATTGTTTAGGAGGTTGACACATCTCTTTTCAAACCATTTCATTGCAATCAGACCTTTATCAGAGCCTGTAATAACAGGCTCCATGGCCCTTCTTCATCAGGTTTTTGGTTTTAGTGTGGGAAGCATGATTTTTCTGCTATTGGGGGAGCTCCACCA